TGAAAATAGTCTGTTCGAAGATTATGAACATCTTCCCCCAGTATTCTAGTTTTTAATTGTCTCGCGGTATTTATGCTTATGCATATCTGTCTATTTATTCTATTTATTTTTTCTTGTTTCTTTCCTTTATTTCTATTTCATCTCATTCCTTTGTATGTATCCTCGGTTAACCTACTTCACTTAGACAAAGCCTATTCGCTCGACGCGGTTCCAGTCGTAAGCGAGTCCCTTCCTCCTCTTCCTCCTCCCTTCAGGTGGTCGACTCCACGCCTCGTCCGGTCGCCGGCGTATCGTGTGGTGCCGGTGTGGACGAGCACACTCAGGGTTCCTATTCCAGCGTCGGCTCTGCCAATGGACGCAAAGCGGCCTCCGTCAAAGTTAGTGCTTCTCTTCAACGTTCCACAATGATTTTGTAGGCAGTTGTTCTGTGATGTTGGTACCTAGCCAAGGTCGAAGCTTCGGTCAGGTCCAGTCCAGACCAGCCTGGATGAGGGTACCTTTAGAGGAATTCACTGGTATCGTAAGGCCTATTGATCTAATTGGGGTAAAATTTACTATCACTATTACTACCTCGTAACCTTAGGCGACCTAGGCTGGCTAAAGTTCTTATTAAAGATTTACTGATACTCGTGAATTCCTGCTTAATTTGGATTCCAGTTCAAGGCATTCCCTGTTTTCTTTCTATCCTCTTAGCTCTACTTTATTTTCTATAGACAACGGAGCTCAACACTACAAGATCTGTTATTCGATCTGGTATCACGTGCTGTGCCTTACCTACCGCTTGTCAATCTCACTTTCTTCCATTTGACGAATGTGTGCTTGTCGGCTAATTCAGCTCATTTATTTCATCTTTTCAGCATCAGCACTACAACCTGTACTACATTTCCGCCAACAATCATAGACGATTCTGGATCTTATTTTGTTCCTGGTCTATTGTTTCATTGCTAAAGGTGCAGAAATTAGGCCTTTTACCGGGAACACTTATGCAAAAACCTATACCGAATTTATATGTTGGGTATAAAAAGCCACGAACAACTGCACACCTGGTACAATTTGCGAGTTGTTTTGGGTTCTATCAGACATCTGTTCCTGCATTAATTACTCTGCAAATTGCTGTGTATACTAGACTGTTGAGAAGGCGAAAGCACAGATGTAGGCTGTAACAACACATTTTCACAATCCCTTAGAGTCATTCCACACCAATCTGTTCTTTTATGTGTGCTTTCCTCAGAGCTTTCTTATGATTAGGATCAACTCTCGAAATGGAATTTTACCCGACTATGTGAAAAAATCATTCACAATCCAGTAGTTCTTGTCTGCGAATAAAATTTAAGTCCCGAGCTATCACTCGCCTTATAATAGTTGTTGAGCTTACTTCCATTTCCAGTACAAGTATGTGATTAATAGTCAAAAGTGGATTCCACCAAAAGACGACGTCGGATTTCTCTTGACCAGATATCGGTTGGCTGCATTGGAAAATTTTTGCTGAACATTCTTTGATTCTGATAATAACGTCGTGAACTTTCTTCGCAAGTGAGTAGGTTTTCGAGACTACCATTAAATTGGATCTATGAGTTATGATCGCCCTATTTCGTTTAAGGTGATGAAGGATGATGGTAGTCGCTTTTTTAAACAATCATTTGAGTAGAGCTGATGTTTCCATGTAATTTCACATAGCCCTGATTTCCCACAAGGATGGACTGCCTTTTCGACCTTGCGTGGGTATTATCAACACCCCTGGAGGAAGTCGAACCATGGCATCGCAGTGCGTAGGTCCGATACTTTAACCACTACGTCACACTGTCACAAGTGTCCTTGGGCCACAGAGTAAATATGAATTTCAAGAAATTTAAGGCTTTTTCCATATCATATTCTGTGTTGAAATCGTCAATGAAGTAAATATAAGTTTGCTTCATCGATAATCCAAACACAAAATGTGATTTGGAAAATGCCCTAAATTCCTTGAAATTTATATCTGCCTTTTGACTCAAGGTCACCTGTGGCAATGTGGTTAGTTTACACACTGCATCGTCATGGTTCGACTCTCGCTTTGCGGTGTTGATAAGAGCTATACGAGGTCGAAACTGAAGTCCATTTCAGCCGGGATGAGAACACCTTCTGGAAAAGCAATGCTATGTGAAATTCAATGGAAACGTCGGCTCTATTCATATCACTGTTAGCAATAAGCAACTGTAAGTTCTTCATCACCTTAAACGAAATAGGGTGAATACAATTCGTGCTAAACTGTCGTCCGTAATATTGCCCAGATCTTCAGAGCATGATATAATTCTTACTTCTTTTCGTTTATACCAAAGTTTTCTACACCTTATACAATTCATACCACCGCATTCAAGCTATCGAGTAAAGTCAATCGAGGGCTGGTCAAGAGGAATCACTCGTTTTCTGGTTAGCCCGACTGTCATTTAATAGCCTTGAGACCTTTCCGACTGGAACTAGAGCTAAATATAATTTCACTCGCTATTAAAGTTCCGTATAGCCTCACTGTCCTTGATGCAACCACGGGCTGGACAGTGGAGGCGCTTGAGAATCTCTGGAATTAATTCAGACAAGGAGGCCCTGTTTAAAGCTTTTAAAATCAAAATATGGACCTTTTTATCTCTCGCTTTAAGCCTTCTTATTCGATTGTCTTCTTTATCTTGACGCACATTCGACTTGGTTATCATAATCTGCTTAATGTGCTCTTGTCAGTCTGTGGAAGGCTAACCATAGCATCATCTTTGGCCCTTACTTATTAGGTTGTACTATTTAGTTTTCTGACTGATCATTATCCCCTTAAATAATTCTACTTTGCCACGGAACGTCAACAACAAACAGATATTAACCTGCATTCAGGTGCTTATAATGAGCCTATTTATTTATTTATCCACTTGGGACTAAATTGATGTTTATTCTCATTATTCTCAT